TACGGTACTGTGTTCTTTAAGCACAGTTCTAACTAGAAAATACTGGCAGCTTTGTACCAATGCTTACGAATCTTAGTAATGTTTCTGTATTTAGTAATAAATGAGAACTGAAGATAATCAGCTATTGAAACAGAAAATAAAGTTTTAAGTAAAAGCATGGAAGATTTTAGTAGCTGAAATTTCAGCAACTGAGAATTTAATGGATGCCTACTCCTGGAATTCACCAATCAACTGAAGTTTAGACTAACCATAGAAACAGCTCGACCAATTACACTTCAGGGTGGAATCCACCTATCATATCTTTCTCACATATAAAGCAAAAGCCCGGCACAGCAACAGCAGCCTTGAAAATCCTCCAATGGAGTGTACTTAAGATTCTGGATGCCTCCTCCCCCACCCCCCCGGAGTTTGATTCAGGTCTGCAATGGTGCTTAGCAATCAGCATTTTTAACAACCCCCAACTGCACACTTCTGATGGAGGTGGTAGTTTTACTGTATTCTGGAATACTTGCATCTAAAGAATCCAACTACACAATATAAAATAGGTTACTTAAGCGATTGATGTTAATGACGTCTACATAAGTTTACCAAGTATCCTGTAGGAATTTCAAGTTTTGGTCTTGTCTTAAACAACAAATATCTCTAGAACAGTATTTCTCTAAGTCCTGACATGCTAGAGATGAAGATTAAATTCAATATGCTCCACATTTAAGTGGCAATCCCTAATCCCCTTTAGGAAACCACAAGGCAAATCCCGGCCCCTTTACATGTCCAGTATCACCTTTAAGCACTATTCCCCTCAACTTGCCAATCCAATCCTATCCTCCATTCACTGATCCTTTTACATCTTAATGCATAATTCTTTAATACTGCCTATTCCCATCCTAGCTCTCTCTACCTATATGTTTCTTCACAACCTGAAGACAGATTTCTTTTATTCTAGGCACTGTTGTTTGAAATTGTTACTACAAATATAGACCTCTAATCTCAACTTCTTCTTAATATCCTGCAGCATCCATAAACCAAACCAGAGGATTTTCTTTATTGTTTTTAGTGCAATGTTTCAAAATTTTAAATGGTATAATGGAATGTGCACTAAGCCGTGGAGTCAAATGGGTTCAAATTATGGTTTTGTCGTTTTCTATGTGTATGACCTTGAGCAATTCAACCTTTCTGAAGTCTCAACAGTGAAGTAATGATATCAACTACCTGACGGGCTTGTGATTAAATGATATAAGCATATGCAACAATTTGGAACTGTTCTTGGTACACAACAGGAATACAAACTCTCTTGAGTTGTCCCCACCCACCATTTTACCTGCAAAGCACCAATAGCTGCGCTCTGGAAGCGCAGATCTGTTTTAAAGTCCTGAGCAATTTCTCGCACCAGACGCTGGAAGGGAAGTTTGCGAATCAGAAGTTCAGTGGACTTCTGATAACATCTAATTTCACGGAGTGCCACAGTACCAGGCCTTTAAAAAATTAACAATAAAGAAACTGTTACCAAAAACATAAATAGCACAAAAAGGTAAGTGGGCAGCTTTAATGAAATGCAGTAATTTTTCAAAAAATAAACCACCCAACAATTCTTCAGCTTCAATATAAAATTTCACTGATCAACTTAAGATGTGAACATTCAAATCGAGTAACAATACCTTTAAAGCAAAAAGCATGAAATTAAAATGCATTCTTAGCAAGAAGTTTATCAAAGTCCTATTTATTTTCATTTTAAAAAGTTATTTATGTATATAAACCTTGGGAAGGTATTAGCTGTCAGGCTAAAAAAGAAGTTGGCTCCTCTCAATTTAGCACCTCTCTCCTTCCCTACACCCTCCATTATCTTAACAGCCCTTAAAGATGACCAACACAACCCAATGAACTTCATTTAAAAATATATTTGTGGCGTTTAAGTTCTATTCCCCAGAATACCTCTGACTACAATTCATCCCTCATGAATTATTAAATTTGAATACACCCGATTGTGCAGTGTTCCTTCCACGTGGAAAAGTATTTTTTTTTAACTAACTGTCAGCAAGAAATTTACCTCTCATTCTGACTTATTTCTTCCACTGTATGAGTTTTTATTTTAAGTTAATCGTAGTGTCTGCGGAGGCTAAGTCTGGGCAACTTCTGCCCTCTAATGGCAGATGCCCTTAACAACACAGTGGCTCAGCTAGTTCACAATCAAAAAAGCCAATACTGAAGGAAATAAGCTTATCAAGTAAACGAGGGGGTAGGAACTTTATAAAACACCCAATTTCGATTAAATTATTATTTTGCCAAAAGCTAGGAAAGATATCCTCAAAAGTGTATTCAAGAAAGCAACACGTAACTATTGTTAAAGAATTACTAATAGTTAACTAAAATGTCAACATATCCCATTAACATTATCAGTGATATACTAGGTCTCCTTAGACCTGTAGGTCAGATTATGGCTTCAAAGTTAAACGTTTTCAATAAAACCCAATACTAAACGTTATATAGAAATGATCATACAGTACATATATTTAAGTAGTAAAGTGTTCAAAAAAAAAAAAAAGTCTCTCTAAAGCAAAAACTTTTCCTGTTATCCATCTTTTTGTTAAATTATATGGATACATACCAGAGAGACTTTGTCCCATTTTTTTCCCTGTTTTTTAATACCTGTAACGATGAGGTTTCTTCACCCCTCCAGTAGAGGGCGCACTCTTGCGAGCGGCTTTTGTAGCCAATTGCTTCCTGGGTGCTTTACCACAGGTCGATTTGCGGGCAGTCTGCTTTGTACGAGCCATGGTACAGAGACCTCCTTACTTACCTACCAGCATGGAAAAATCAAAAATCACCATATGCAACTACTAAACATACAACTTTTCCTGCCACGATCACCCCCTCCCCATATCTGGAAATTATGATCAATATAAAAAATAATGTTCGTATTGTTATATAATTTAAAAGGGTGCAGATTACGTCTACCCAAAATCTTATTGAAACAAACTAGAGTACTAGAAAATTGTTAGCAATTAATGTCAATCACCTCTCAAAATGCCAATTCTGAGCGACAAACGGCAAAACAAAAAGACCTCGAACAGCCTTTGATCCAATTTATTTAATTAAAGTAGAAATTAGAAATGTCTGTAAACATTCCATCCACAAACAAGTCAAAAGAACGAAGCCACAAACCACTGGAAGGTCTAGCCAAATTACAGCAAAAAAAGGTCTTCCTCCCCCCCGACTTTGGCTGCCCCCCCTTCGTCTGGCTGTTAATGGATTGCTGTAAATATCTGAAAATATTCTTGGTTTTGCATCGTTACAGTTATGTTGACAAAAAGGCGTCTCGAAAAAACAAGAGAGGAACAACAGCTACCACCAGCGAGCATTCTACAAAGCCCCGTCCTCGCGTCCAGTCTTCACAGGCTTCGCAGTGAAATGAAGTGCCCCGCACCCAGGCTTTAATTAACGCACGACATCCGCCGACCGGTCCACCCCAAGCACCACATAAACTTTTGGTTTTGCCTCCTCCGGGTCCCTCTGCACAGGGTCCCCTAACCTGCCCACCTCGCTCCCAGCGCCTCAAGCAGGAACCAACTCGCCTCCCAGACCAGAACAAAATGGAAACAATCGCAAAACGTATCGGATTCCGTTCCAAAGAGACAAAACACCAAATCGCTCGAAAATACCCCATCCCCTGCCACGTGCCGCCCTCCAAAATGCAAAAGTTTTTTTGCATTTCAAATGCATCAAGTTTCCGCTTCTCCAAAAAAGGGAAAAAAATGTCCCTCTTTTAAAAATTCTTGCTTTTTTGAAATGGGGAAGAGAGAAACGGGGGAAAAAATATGGTCGGTGACCAGAGAAGAGAGACAAGATGGTGAAGCTTAGCAACAACTGTGGGGAGGCAGCAAAAAGCGAGTTACCCCAGGGTGCGAAGCGGCGGCGATTTCCACCCCTTTCCCGCTCGAAAACTGGGGGCTGGGGCCCGGGGGCGGTAGTTAAGAGGCCCGCGCGGGTCGTGGTGAAGGTTTGGGGTCCTGGGAAGGGGCGGCGGGCGGGATTTCACCGAAGAAAGAGGAGCCAGGGGCGCGGGGAGGAGGAGGGAGAGCAGGCTCGGCGCCGCGGCGGTTGCTGCTGTTGGGCTGAGGCGGCGAGAGACTGGGGAGCCGCCGCCGTCAGAGGGAAAAGGGAAACTCGCTCCTTACCTCCATTTCTGGGCCAAAAAGTTTGTGGGCTAAGCCGGAGGGGCTACGGGTCCCCTCCCGGCACGGCCAGGGCCCGGCTCGCGGCTGACGACAACCGGGGCTCGGTTCCGGGGAAGCGGGCAGACGGGGAAACTTACCCCCCTTCTCCTTCGGCTGTAGCTCGGCGAGCGAGAGGCGGCGCTGGCGTTAGAGAGCGACGGCGGCGCGGCGGCGGCTGCGAACACAATTGAAAGATGGCTGACACCGAGGCTATCCCCCAACACACGCCGCCCCGCCCCC